CCCTGAAGCAGGGTGTGTGTGTCTGTGTGTGTGTGTGTGCATATGTGTGTACATCTGCAGGCTGTGTGTAGCGTCACCATTGTGTGCACGTCAAGCTTAAGTATAGATATCTTGCACCCGGTCTCCGACAGTGACTAGTTTGACATTTGGGGACATAAGCTCTTGGCACATTAGCTGATTTACCCCCAGGCCTCCATTTGTAACAACTCCAGAGCTCTTTCATTTATTTAAATGCTGTATGTTACAAGAGTCACCGGCTGTTGTTGGTTGAGAAGTAGCTCCAATCGTTCGATAACGTGTTTAAGCAGCAAGTGATTTAACTGTAAATCACTCATATCTGTGTCTGTACTAAACAGCGCGTGTATCAACGTTATCATTAGAGTCGCTCTGAATAAATAATCTAATCTGAAAGCAAAGACAGTGATATTAATTGAATCCCAGTTATCTATTAAGTGTCAGTAAAGGAAGCTAATAAGTCCTAGCCTTGATCCTGGACTATGAGTGAAAACCATGATGCACTGCTTCATTACTTCCAACCTGTAGTTTAAACAGCCTGTTTTTTTTTTCATTTGTAGATATTTGTGGTGTGTGTTTATGTGAGTGATATTATCTTCCACCTGTAGAGCTGACAATTGTAAGCTGTAACATTTTTTTTGCGTTTGCCTCCTGAGGATACCTGGAGTCAGCCCCTAAAATACAGAGTCTAATATGTTCCCAGATAAGTTTCTCCCTTCACCCCTCATTCATTCATTCATTCATTCATATTTTCTGGCGCTGTTTGGAAGTGACAAACTGAAATAGTTGTTTGGTTGTCATAACTTTGTGTACAGGCTTGGGGAGTAATGGATTACATGTAACAGAGTTACGTAACCAGGATACAAAAAAAGTGATTATCATTATTATGCGTTTTCTCTGCTCTTATTCTACCTTATTAATTATATATATAATATATATATTATTATATAATATAATACACAATATTGTTACTTTTATTATTATTATTATTATTATTATTATTATTATTATTCTACATAAAATATATTAATCCCAAACTAGCAATACAAAACAAATGTACCATAAGAAATCTCCCCAAATCTCCTCTATCTGTCTACAGTGATGGCAAAGGCCAGCAAACACACAAACTAACATTCCTCCACATTCATCCACCGATGCACAGCATCAGAGTAGTTTGAGGTTCAGTATTTTGCTCAAGGATACTTCAATATGCAGCGGGAGGAGCCAGGGATCAAACCGGCAACCTTCTGATTAGGGGACAACCCGCTTTACCTCCTGAACTACAGCCACCGGTGTGATCACCTCCTGCCTTAGCAGGGCCGGCTGTGTGTTTTCCCCTTGCTCTGTCCATGGGCGTGGTTAATCAGTGCCTCCCAGGAGCACTTAAGATCCAGCCATCTCTCACTGACTCTTCATTCCTCCGGCACCATGTTCCCATTTGGTTGGCTTTAGTCTGGTTATTAGTTTCTGCACCTTACGACACTGATTTTACACTAACAAAAACATAGCTATAAATATTATATTCCGTTCTTGACAATAGATCCTCCTCAATGTTACACACTGGACCTTTAAACGTATCAATAATTATTAACAGCAGCAGCCATCGTACTACAATAGTTTCTCTATGTTGCCATAACTTGCAGTAAATGAGTTGATTTGGCACGTTTTGCTGAAACACACTTTGAGTTCATTCTAATGGTTCATTCAGTATCTCACTGTGAAACACACACTGGAGCGTGCTGAGCACCAGGTCAGGGACAAACAAATGCAAAGCCCATTCCACACAGCGTCAAGCTGTACACCCTTAATGAGCCCATATCACCACATCAGCTTCTATGATCACCTTGGCCTCTGAGTAGAAAAGTCAAAGATGGACAGAAAAATGGAGGACAATCAGTGTACTTGCATAACGTTCACATTTATTTGGTTTCAAGTCCTAACACATTCTAAACATGCTTTTAACACGTAATGGATCACATTCTTCACAGGTAGTTAAAGTAACAAGAGCAGACAAGAGATTTTGGAAGAGAAAAACAAAAAGGCGTTTCAATTGTCTGTTCACAGGTGATGACAGTGTGTAAATCTATTTCGTCCCTGAGATATGTGGAGATTTTTCAACTCTTTCACTTCCCCCACTTTTCCCATCTTGTGCTCCTGTACAACAGGGTTCTAACAGTGGGGAGGGAGTCTCTGTGCATCAGCCAACTTAAAGCCCAAACTGATGATGTGGAAAGATGAGAACTGGAGCTTAAAGCTGAAACAGTAGTTGCTGCAACTTATTAAAAGTTCTCACTATGACTCTGTGCTCTAGATCTCATCCTGCCGCAGGTCGAACAGTGTTACTGTGCTATTGTTGGAAACATATGTTGGATTGCCTGAAGTCTCTAAAGGGGAAAATGTGCCTTTTTATAACTTGGATGTTTTTTCATTTATTCGTACTGGCTGTGATGACATTTTCTAGATTTTATTTGAAATGATTGATATCTAGGCAAGTGGTGCCACTTGTGGATTGCAAGAGAAGTAACATTATGGAGTTATTTTAGTGCTGGCACAAATTGAAACTGAATTTAATAGTTTTGAATTTGAAATGTTCAAATTAAATATGGAAAATTTGCATTGTATTTCACAGATTGAAAATTAATCTGATGTCTATTTTGAGAAACTGAAATTCCACTTAAAATAATGCCCACAAGTTGAAATCATTAAGAGTTAAATTCAATTCAAACCATGAGATTCAGTTTGAGGTTGTGACATATGGTTTTAAATTGTGCTACAATATTCCGTTATAACATTTTAAATTCACCACTTTTTATTAAATTCTGATTAATTTTTGCTGGCATTAAATAACTGCGTACAACATGAGCTGCCAGGAGAACAGATTTTTAATAAACCCGCCCGTAACATTTTACATATGTTTAAAGTAAACTTTTTGGGAAAACACTGTTAGTTTTGGTTTTTACTTCCAAATAAGTGGTTATAATGTGGGCTCATAAGAATGATGGCATGCAAATAAGTTCCAGGCTCTAAGTTTAAAGGTTTAAATTTCCCCATTTGAAGAGTGGCATGACATTCTGTATCATTAAGTGAGGCTGACAGCTTCTGTTCAAACAGTCCAACCCCCAGATAACACTGCAGTAAGTCTGTCTGTGGTCGCGTGCCACAGCGTCAGGGTCACACAAGTGAGAGAGAATGTGTACACACAAGGAGATGTCAGTTTGACCACGGTTATGTTCGCCGATTCATAATCGATTGCGAGCTACATCGACAGAGTCAGATATGATAGCAGCCCCATTGTTAGCACTCCGTGTTACCTTGAACCGCCTCACCAATGAACAACAACCATAGAGCACAATGAAAAAAGCAAAACATAACACACTGGCATATCATGATGCGGCGAGTATAGTGTACACAGCAAGCAGCCATTCACCAGATAACAAGATGTATTCCGAAAAGGTCAACACAGGAAAATAAAGCACTGGTTAACTGCAGCAAGAACGCATCACGTGAACACTAATCAGCACGCTGACATTGTCATATTGACATTCTTTCATCTATGGTATTGGATTCACGATAACAGGGTAGAAATGAAATGAAAGATGACACTAATTTAACGTGAAACTGAGCAACAAAAAAAAGAAGGAAGAGGATCCCTGAAAGATTAAGAGTGTCTAATGTGTAACATGCTTCACAGCCAGAGGTCAGAGAGAATAAAGCGGCCGACAGCAGGCGAGCCTGAGGTAGAGAGGATTTTGAGGCAACAAGTTTTTAAAAAAAAAAAAGAAGAGGAAGAAAACAGGTATCATAAATCTGAGAGGTCACTGAGTGAAATAAGAGACACAAAATAACAGGACATTGGTGCAATGAAACCAATAAATAAGACAAAAAAATCAACTATTTGAAAGTAAGCAACATGATGACAAATAAAGAGGTAGTTTCAGTACAGAAATCGCAAATGACATATCCCTTGTCTGCAACAAAAGTACAAATACAGGAAATTAAAAAGAACACTTTCTTCAGCACATGTGATGATAAGTCAGAACGGTGGCAGTAAGGTAGCCGAGGGGAGGGTTTGATTCAGAGCCAATGAGCAGAGGCCGGTATTCATATCGTTCACTGCTACATTAAAGGAAAAAAATCCCCCGTCAGATCCTCTCACACTGTCAGATCCCAGCCGTCTGTGATGTTCTGTGCATTCCTGGACTTACTCTGAGAGGAAGTTGTTGTCGACCACCCTGAACCTCTCTTCTGCTTCGGCTGCAGTTAGAAGACAGTTTATGTTCAGAAAGGTGGGACTGTTAAACAGCGCAAAGTGGCAGCTCTAGAGAAAAGCCCTTGCGTATATACATTTAGATATATATTTTGCTTAGACAAATCTGCAATGAAACTCAGCTGTTTCTCAGCAGTTGTAAGGGATTTAAGGGTTTTTTTTTTCTTTTAATGGTGCATCACATCACTCAGACTTTTGTTACATAAAAGTAGATATCCCTGAGATTATGTGGTTTAAAAAGGTCAGTTCACCAAAAATGACACAAAAAACCCCAAAGCAATTATGATTTTATATGCTTAGATTTTGATTTCCTTAAACCCTGGTCGGATCAAACCAAAACTATGTGAACGGCTACACAGCACTAGAGGTAAGTTAGCATATGTAGTACGTCTTTTTATTTTAGGTGAAATTACCCTTTAACCTCAGAAGGCTGTGTAATGAATGATGCACGTTTTACGAAATGGAGAGACACGATGTTCTCCACACTCACTGTAGCTGCTAGAAAATGAGTTTGGAACCACAGATGACTCCAAAACATCACATTTGCATTGTAAAATGATTCAAATAACACATGAAAGGCTCCAATATGTCAGTATTGTCCATATAAAACGTGGCTGACATCGCCTGAGTAATACTTTAGTTTTTCATAAACCACTGTGGACAAGAGAAAGAGTTATTAAAAATCATGTCCAAAAAAAAAAAAAAAAAAAGTCAACAATTCATTCAAAGTTTATAAAATGATAGGGGTTTTCTTCACTCCCCCCAAAAAAAAAGACAACAAAAACCCAAAACTTTTACAATAACTACAAAGGTACATGAAAATGTATAAAAATCAAAAGATGAAAAGAGGCTAACTGAAACATTGGGAAAGAGAAACACTGCATTGAACTGGTGGTGCTGTTAAGGCTGCACACAGAGAGGTGGATGGGAGCAGGAGAGAAGCTTTGACATTCTGAAGATGCCTCTCGCTCTGTCCATCACCAATGCCAAGAGAAAAATTCCCCCTGCGTGTCTCACCTTCAAACTACATCAACTTTCACTGAATGGGGAGGGCCTTGAGGGAAATAAAGTGGAAAAGAAAAACAAAACACTTTTCTACAGAGGACCTACAATGTCCTGGAACCTACGTCTACTAATACTACAAGTACATCAGCATGGTCACTGAGGAACTCCTGAATGCAATACATAACACTCACTTTACCCTGTTTAGATCCAGGTCGGCAGGGACCTGAGAGAGAGAGGAACACACTGGGTGGGCAGTGGCCGAGGTCAAGGTCTCCGAACCTCACCGTCGTGTGCAAAAAAGAGAGTCGTTGCGAGGACTGCATTTTGTCTGCATTTCAAATTGTTCGTACATCGTGAAATGGCTAAAAACTTGAGGGATCCAAGAAGACACTTCAAGCGGTTTGATCTCATACTTCAAAAATAAAGACCATTTCCTATGGCATTTTTTTAAACAATGTGCATATCTGTCACAGAGGGTATGTAAGCCGGAGGTAAGTCATCTAAATTCTCTAAACCTAGCCTGGATTTATCAAGACAAGGGCTGGATCAGTCAAAATCCACTGCTAGCCAGGTTTAAGTGTTAGTCTGCTAACTTAGGGTCAGCCAGTTAATAAAAAAAAAATCCTTTTTTGGTCCTTGGGCCAACCTTACCCAGTAAAACCATGAGGACTACACCTGAACCAAGTCTCAGGTCAACACTTTCTAGTGCCCCATGGATCTGGATTAGGTCCGACTTAAACTGCTACTGGTCTTGGGTCTGTGCAAAACTTTGATTGGACCTGACAAAACCTGAAAACAGTTTAAGTTCCTCTAAAACTGACCTGAAACTGCACAATGGAACTTTTGAATGGACCGACCCCATTCGGAACTTTAGTCAACTTCCTCCTTTCCTGTACTGGGATATGCTATGTGATAGGCTAATCTATGTTGAAAAGACCAGCATATTTTGTCATTCTGAATACGGTTAAAAGATAAAAGTGACATATGTACAGTCACATCTTAAGTTAGTTAGCTAATGTTAGCAGAAAACTAATTAGCTAGCTAATCGACAGTCAGTCAAGCCAGTTGGCTAACATTTTGCTAACAATAGCTATATGTCCCTTTTATCTTTGAACAATCTTCAAATGTATTTTGAACATAGATTAGTCTAGCACATAGCATATTTAAGTACAGGAAAAGAGGAAGTCGACCGATGGCTTGCTCAACTGTTATTAGAGCACAGAGTAACAAGGACTTGGTTTTTCATTTTGCTGGATAAGCTAACAGAAGCTAGTGCTCCACACCAGCTTCAAATGAACTGAAGGCCACAAACACTCAGGTTCATTCGGCTCCTGTCCAGACTTGGATACAGTTGTTGTCTGTTCCATGTTGGTTCTAGCAGTTTCTTTTTTTGACCCATAAAGATATATTACTATAACGCCAAGATTTCACGGACTACCCCTTTAACCAAACATAGCCAATACCGTGGACCTTAAATGTAGGTGATGGTGTGCTGAGAGCAGGCTACAATGCATCAAGTTCCTGGCCCTAAAGGCAGCAGAGCCCAAAAAAACGAGCCATCTGACGAGAAGCAGAGGGAAAAACAAAAACTGGGAATACATCTGCTCTGTGAATACGTGTGTGCACAAGAACGTGCGTTTAGCAGCATTTAGAATGAAATCCGGCAACATACTCGTCTGTCCAGCAGAGGGTTCTCCCCTCTGACACAGATTGATTCATTTTCTTATCCTGATCCTTCATTGATAAGAAACAGTTTTTTTTCTAGCGGAGCTATCAGCATCCGACCCATCAATGGGTGTTTGAAAAAAGCATTGCATAACACTTTGGTCAAAAAAGAAAAACAATAAAACTAAAAACAGCAAACCTAGCTATCCTCCCCTTCCCCTGCAATAAAGCCTTACATCCCCAGTCTATGATTGTAAAAAATACCCGTATGCTCCTTTTTCAATGAAGATCCCACAGATCCAACAACTGTCACCTTAACTCATGGAATGTTAAATTGACAAGACCGCCTCCCATAAGCGGGAGTCCATGAAGATAACATAGCTCAATTTTGCTATTTAAATTTTGCAGTTTCAGTGTAATAAAACACTGCTTTTCAATCTTTGATTTATGCAGCTCCTTTGAACGTTCAGTCTCTGATTGAGGCGCCAAAGCATCCACAGGGATTTGGTTTTAGACTGGGCAACTCTTCATTTAACAGCAAGAAAAGGTACCTAAAAATAGCAACAACATCTTCCTGAGGTAGTCTTGAAACACTCGTCATGTGTCTGTCCGCCCCCGTCTGAATAAAATAAACTCTATTAAGGTCTAGCTCTAACAATAGCAACACTGACACATTGAGCAAACTGGATACACACTTGTAAACTCCAAAGACCAATGCATCTACGAGCATTTGTTTTGTACAGAAGCATGTGCACAGTGTAAATCAGCATACATTCAGCTCTGTCGTGTAATAAATATATAAAGAAAAAAGTTACAAAAAAAACAAACTAGCTGCTTGTCACATTCACAAGAGGGGAGACCAGTCCCTCGACTCTGGGGTGGGTGGGGTCGGGTGCTAGTTTCCGGAAGAGGTGGTCACGCAGGGTGACGGGCCGGTCCTGTAGCTGGTCAGGCTGGATTTGCAGGAGTGCAAGACTGCTTTGAACAAGAGGGGGAGCTGCTCCAGAGGGACATTCACCAGCTTCCCTGCAAACATACACAACATGCAGCCCTTTAGCTTAGCTTAGCGTCTCCTTAATGGACATCTTGTATTAAACTCATTCCATTAGTAATAATGCTGTGAGTCACTCTTTCAGATTCTCTTTTTAACAAAAATACTGTTTTCATTTATTCATTTGTTTCTACTTTGCTGTTTTTTACTAAGATGCTGTCAATGAAACTCAACAATTGCAGATATTTCAAACATTTTTTAAAAACCAAGCTATCTAAAGCTGTTGAGTGATCTAGTTTGGATTAGAACATTTATTTTATATTATTATTATTATTATTATTATATATTTATTGGCACTAAAGCTGCAGTAGGTAACTTTTATAAAATAACTTTTTGTCATATTTACTGAAATTTCCACCAAATCGTGACAGTAGTACATGAGACAGACAATCTGTGAAAAACTCCGGTTCCTCTGGCTGACCTTGGAATGAGGCCTGAACGTATTTTTTCACAGATTCTTTTGTCTCATGTACTACTGTCAGGATTTGGTGAAAGTTTCAGCAAATCCCCAATATAAAGCTTTAAACAGTGTCAGCATACTTGGATAGCAACATGAATCTCCACCTTTTAAACTCTCCGGGAAATGAAATACATCTTTGTACCATCCACGCTTTCCACATTTTGACTTAAAGAAAGACTTAACTATCCAAGAGCATGTGAATGCACCATTAGTGCTGTAGAAATGTACTGAATGAATTTGTAACGGTGGAATTGTGGTGTTTGTATAAACAGCAATCAGCATGCACATCAGTTTAAAATGGGCACAGATGAGAAATTAGGCTTCTTCCTAAAGTGTGTTAAGATATACTTACGAAACCAACGGTAAGAGTCTCATACCCAAGGTTCAACATTAATGTTTGTTTTTCACTTTTCCTAACAGGTAAGTGGGTCCGAATTCTACTTCTAATTCACTACCGTGCCTTTGACCATCAACCACAGAAGTCATTCTTTTTCACCACTTGCCCGATCAGGCAAGCGAGTTGCTATAGTTACTAGCCTGACGTGGCATTTAACTTGTCCCGGGCAAGTGGTCAATTCTTATTGTTGAGCCCTGCTTGTTGTTTGTCTTTGGATTAGAGATGCAATTTAATTTAATTAAATTGGACCTATAATCTAAAATACAGCAGCAGTATTCATTACACCATACAACATACATGTGATGGAATTTTACAAAAATACCGCCCATTGTACCATTTATTTATCCGAAGCCTTACCTGCAATGCAGCGGATCTCTGGGAGACACATCATGATCTCAGGGAAGCGTTTGGGCTGGTGCGGGTACTTGTATTCAGTGTAGTCCTGACACACATACCAGTAGCGCTTGTTCAGCTGCTCGAGCTGGGAGATGTTAGACAGCCCTCTGATATCTGCAGAGATACAAACGAAAGGAGAGAGTTGTGTGAAGAATACAGCAAGGGCCGGGGAAAGCTCAGACTCGGCAGCAGAGTTTGTGTCGTTACCTTGGTTGAGGAAGTTGATGGCTTTCATACAGGCGTACTCCTCGTTACTGATCTTCAACTGGTGAAACTTGCGAAACAGATATATCAACCTCTCCATCACCTCCATGCCGTCCTCGCTGAACCTGAGGGATCAGACACACAGACTTGTCAATGATGGAAAATGTTGTAAATAAGACAGACAGACAGACAGACAGACAGACAGACAGACACACACACAAATGGATGTAATACTCTGTACCATTTGAAGCTATATTCCCCAAACAAATAGACAGACTAAGTTTCAGTGGGCTTACTGTCCACATGTTCCCATTAAAATCCACTGTGATAAAATAAAAAAAGCACAAAATAATACAAAATCCCTCAAGCCCTATTATCTTAAGCTTCTATGCTTCAATGAACAAGGCATAAATTAGGGAGGGAATATGTCAGATCTACTGAAAGTGCTTAAGAAACGTCTTGCTGATCCCACAGCTTTTTCAAAGAAAGATTCACAAAGTTTAATTCGGCTCATCAAACCTCAATTCCCCATTTCTCCGACTGCCACAGCTTCAATCTCTCACACACTTTAGCCCTGCCGCTGTAAATCAGATATTCACTCCCAAACTACAGGCAAACTGACCAAAGCAGCAGAACGGCACCGTATATTAGGAGAATGTGTGTCATTAGGTCAGATAATTCTGGTCTGATTTACACAGAGCTGAACCCACACCCCCACACATCCTTTTCTGTCGGGTGTGGGACATTTGTGTATTTTACATGCCAGACGGTGCTAGCCACAGCTCTGTCCTGAGGAGTCCTCCCGTTCATGGACCACTACCCTGGCCCTCATCCAACATCAATACTTGCCCTGCTGTCATAGGGAAACATATCAAACCCTTGTGGAGATACTGAGCTCACAGAGTGGAACGTCTCGCCTTTGTAGAGGACTGTTGTTGCAGTGGGGAACACTTAATTCCTGATATACACCTTTCCTCTCTGTGAAATATTGAATTGGCAACACTCCCGGAGGCGAAATCTAGCGTTTAATATATTTTGTGTGTTAATGGTGCGATAGCCTCCATAAAAGAGAGGTGGGAGGCAATATGAGTCACTGTAGGTGAGATATTACTCACACATATGAATGAGGGTAATTTTATCAGTCATTATGTAAATACAGAGGTCAAACATAAGTATGTTGCTAGCTACCTCTTTGTTGTGCTAAAGTGTGTTATTAAATGTACCAACTGTAGAGTCATACTTTACCTATGTTCTTTGTTTGATGGTTAAAACCTAATTGTGGAGGTTGGGACTTTGGATACGGTGGTTAGAGTTGCTACACTGTTTTTCTAGCCTGAATCATTTTAATGTCATATCTAAAGGATAATTCCAGCTTATTTTTCATCGTTTTGCTCATCATTCCTATCCAAAACTAAAACTAAATCCCATGTTGCACTGAACTTGGGCAATAAAACAACTGGCAGCTGCTCTAAACACAGCTCTCTGACCCCTCTTTCCTCTCCGAGGCCATGCCACTCACCCCTGCAGCTCATCGTCCGACGGCGTGTACTTTGCAGTGACGTTGGCCAGGTCTCCGAAGATCTGGGAGCTGTATATGGTGAGGCAGGAGAGCAGGATGAGCTCCTGCCAGGTGGAGCTGAGCAGGCAGGTGTAGTCCTCTATGGAAAGCTCGCAGAAGAACGGCAGCTTCTTGATCCAGGAGATCTGGCGGAAGAGCAGCTCGTCTGCCAGGCGACACAGCAGGGCAAAGAGCTCCACCTGTGTCACTTTGTACCTGGGGGACACAATTAGACAAAGGATTAGGGATGTATGACCAAAAACAGCCACCAGTGCACATCCACTGAGAATGGACTTTACAGTGAAATAGAAGACATCTTGTGTCCAGCAGGAAAACTTTAGAAATGAACAACATTTGCATATTCAGAGATTAGACTTTTTTAGAGGAAAAACATACATACATCTTATGCTGTCACATGATGAACTGGTTGCATATCATACACGTGTAAGGGAAACATTTTTGACACTTATTGCAAAGATTTAGATGGAGCCCTGTCTGCAGTCTGCATAGCCTTCAGATATTTTTTCTAAATTTGACGTGGGCTGAGTCACTGGCAGAGACAAAATACTGGCAGACAGGCAGAATTCAAACGCCCTTTGTTGATCATTCATTGAAAACATTTATCAGAATTTATTGAGTAATAAAGAAAAAGAATAGTGAGTGTTTTAAAGCATTTCTGTAAGTGAAATTAGCAGACCAGTTTTATTTACAATAAACTCTCAAACATCCAAGTGACATGAAGAATGCACTGTTGATATCTGTTGAAAATCTCAAGCTGTTTCAAGTTATTTTGTTTACATTTTGTTTTCAGTGGGGTGCTATTGTCTTTGAGTCACTAATCACACGATGAAATGACAACCTAAAGCTTCCTAGTGGGGGAGTACGTGGTCAATTTTGCCCAGTGGGTAAATGTATGTAGAATCTTAAGCATGCATTCACTCACCCATCTTCTATGAGCATAGGGGTTGCCAGGGGGGCCAGGTCTTCAGCAGCCACCAGCTGCAGCACCAGTGGGTGGGACTGCGGGTAGAGGCTGCGGGGCTGGGGGGCCAGCAAGCCAGACTGGGCAGCGTAGCTGAACAGGTGAGGCAGGAGCTGGTAGTGTGTGGACATGGAGGTGTTTATGTACTGGTCCCTGAGGGCTGCCGTGTAGCCGTTCATTTCCACAGAGCGACTGGAAGCACAAAAAGGTTAAAGGTTACACACAGCGGTGGAATATTAGTTTATAACCTTTAACCTTTATCTAAGAAAGGTCGTTGGACGTCCATTCTCTTTTCTGCTACAAATATTTGTAATTCTTTCACAAACTTTTAGACAAAACTTCATTTTGTACCTGCATACCAAAGCCTACGCTACAGAGGCATTCTGTTATTGTTGTTCATTTCTGCTCAGATTTAATTTGATAAGACAAGTATTCCTCTGAATAGCTATCAGGCTGTGTTGCTGCAGAGATAAACTTAATGTTTGTACAAAATGAGACTAAAATAAATACCGTGATGCAAGCACCTAGACAATATTTGTCCTTGATGAGTGTAGATAGACAATACGCTCGTCTCCATAGCAAGAACAGCAGATAATGCAGCGAGTTCTTTGTGTTTGCTATCATCACCAAGCCTGAGGAGCTGCATATTCAGGCATTCTTCAGCTGGTGAATACCTTAACTAAAGTCTGGGTGAGATGGGAACGAGGTGTTAGACTGTCAGGGCCAGCTCATTATCTCAATGGTGGGGCGAGTGCAGGCACTGCACGGTGGAGTAGATGAGATGAACAACTCACTTGGATGACAGAGTGGAGGCGGGTGACGGCTGGTTGCCCTCCGAGGCTCCGTTGCTGGGAGAGCTGTGGTCGCTGTCGCCGTTGTTGCCCCAGGTGTGCTCTGGGGCGTCCTCCTTGAATTCCTGCCCCGACATTATCCGCTCTATCTCCTCCTCTGTGATCTAAAACACAAATGCAAGTGCACAAAGAGGGTTTCTATTTTTTTTTTAGCTCACAGCACATCCTCATGTGACCAAAAGCACTGTGTGTCTCAGTTCAATTGATTAGCCCTGACTAGCACCACACTGCTTTTCACTGAAACGCTGAGGAGCAAGGACACAGCTGCACAATGAAACAGGGAGTTAGAGAAAGAAAGAAAGGAGGCAAACAGGTATGTGTCTGTGTGTGCCTATTTGATTGGCTGATACACACACACACACACACCTAAAATAATAGAATCCTTGCAGGTCCGTACAGGGAGAAAACACAGACAAAAACCATTTTTGAAAGGCATTGGCATGCCAGAAAATGTGGTGTCTTGTATCTGTGGCTGGGGGTCAATTCACTTTCATTTCTTTCAATTTAGCACATACACTAAAACAGCAATTCATTCCATATTAATGACAGAGAGGTCCCTCTTTCATTAGGGCTTAGAAATAAAGCCGCCTTTTAATGGAAGCGGGCGGTTATGTTTTTTTTTTTAACTTGCTGAATTGAGCTGGAATGAATCGACCACATCCCTCCCCTGAATACGGGCTCTGTGGTAGGCCTACTTAGCCTCATGTCACACATTTTCCTGACCAATTGTTCTCTCGCCAGTGTTAATAATGAAGCCAGCACTGAATGGGGAATAATCATCAGCTACATGATTATACTGATGATACAACAAGGTCAGGGCTCAGTCATTAAATGCTTCACAAGTATCCCTACGCCCAAATCATTAGCATTACAGCACTCCAACTCAGTGTTATTTAAGTGAATGGTTTGTGCTCTGAATGCATTCACAGTGAGCGAGTTAACTCTGGTACTGAGCCAGAATAATATGTATAGAGTGACTCTGAGCCTGGAGAGGGTCAGTGAATGTCACAAAAACAACATTTCTGGTGATTATTGAACATGAAGTCAGTGATTTACCTGAACAGGCCCGATGCTTTTGTTCCTTCCTCCTGGCATGCCATCCTCCCTGATTGCTGCATGAACAAAAAAGAGGGATTAGAAATCTAGATCTGCATGTTCTCCATTAACAGGACATGATCCATAGTCAGTATCACAGCTCTACCTAGTGGCTGAAACAAATCGCATAGTGCTTTTGCTTCCCATCATTAATTTCCATGTGGTTTCTCTTCCTGTTTCTGTTGGCAGGCAGACAGGTTTTTCTCCTGCAGTCTGGGAATGGTTTGTTAAAAACTGGGAGTTAAGCAAATCTATTTCACGTGTCATGACAAACTCGCTTTAATCAAAGTATTTGGAGGATAAATCATATAAAATGAGGCCTTCAGGCTGAAGGAGCATTGAAGGGTCACTTACAGTTTCTAACCACAAGGGGGCAGCATGCACTTGTGGAAGAGTCCCTGCATGAGGACAAACTACAGCTACAGTCTGCTTCTGCCAATTCTGCCAATAAATCAGATTTATTGGCAGAACTGATGTATTTCAACCTTCATCAGCAGCGTGGAGCCTGAAGAGATTTTTAAGGCAGGTTCTGATTTTAGAAGTGAAAAACTCACACATTACTGTTAAATTCTTCATTAACAATTCAGCATACAAATAAGTATTTATTTATGATTCAATCAATTATTTTGTTTCTAAAAGTAGCATAAAGGGAATTATATCTAAATTTCATTCTACATCTTTGCGTTGTAAATCACAGTAAAAGAACTGTGAATCTTGAATGACCTTTCCTATGAGGATAGTGCAGAGATTTTGCACCAATATGATGGTACTCAGAAGGCTGATTTCTTAAACAAATAATTGTATTAAATAATATTTAGGTTAAACATTCTTTAACATGTCAAATAATCAAATATATACAATGTCAACCAATTCTGGTTGCCATTGCTGAGAACTGCACTGTGTTGCGTGCCACAATACTGTAAATCACAGCACACTCTGCTGGATAAACTCTGCAGTGACACCAATATATTTTTTTCTTCAATATATACTGGAAATTTGTTTTTCCTATTGGTGCATATTGGATATAACTAATGATTATTTTCATTGTCAGTTAATCTGAGAATCATTTTTTGGATGAATTGATTAGTAGTTTGGTCCATAAAATGTCAGAAAATGGTGAGTGGAGTTTAATCACTGTCCCAGAATTTGGACACTTTTTTCAAAAAAATGACTTGTTAATCATGTTAATATTATAAGTAAATGTTTTATTTCCAGAGATTTACATGTTGCTCTTGTCCATAAAATGATAAATCTAACTTTCAAAAAAATTTTAATGGAGAAGAATTAATGTAGATTGTTGTGTACTGTAAATTGACATCTTAAACATTTGGGTAGAGGCTCATAATCAGAAAACCTTTAAAATGAAAGCTGAAGTGATGTCCCTGTGTGTCCACACTTTACCTTTGCGGTTCATCCCCATCTGCAGACACTTGAGCAGGCGGCAGTATTGGCAGCGGTTGCGCTGCTTGCGCGACATCTCGCAGTTCTTGTCGCGGCTGCAGCGGTACACGCGCTTGTTGCAGATGCTGCGCTTGAAGAAGCCCTTGCAGCCCTCACAGGAGATGATGCCATAGTGCAGTCCTGTGGCGCGATCTCCACAGATAAGGCAAGTACGCTGGTCAGCTGGATCATCTGCAGAGGTAGGGAAAAAACAAAGTGAAGAGAGGCATTTAGAACCATTTCCACCCACTTCTGTACACTAATTCATCCACACTGTAAAAAAATAAAAATAAAACTGTGGGTGCAAAAACCTTGCTGAAGGCACAAGTTTTTAATTGAGATCATGGGGGCGGTTGGGGCTTAAGCACTAGCCAGGCACTGGCTAATCCAAAGGATTCTTAAGCTCTAACTCTCATTATGTGAAAGTGGAGGTGTAACAGGCAGTGGGACGGGAAGCGGAGACGTCTTGTGTATGTTTTATTCAGCAGCTCTGATGAGAGGAGGCAGCAAGCTAACACCACTGACTGATTTGTTTACAGTCTCTCCTTTCTCTCTAATGGAGTATTGCATGGGGAGGCCTCTTCTTAGGAAAACCTTTGAGATATTGCAGTTTGTAAAAAATCGCTCCATCAATCAATCTGTGACATACAGTTGGACCTATCCATCCAGCACCTATAGCATCTCTTAAAAATTATAATCTTGTAACTTGGTGGCTAATTTTCAAACCAATCAAGCGCTTTGAAATCCACCAGGACTGGTCCATACCTTGACTGGATAATCCACCCTGGTGCTCTCTCAATCATTAACCTTCACCTGGTTTCCTAAAAGAGCACAAGCTTTTTTGCTGATCATTTCAAACTGTGAAATGTTGTTAGGACAGGAATAAGTGAGGGTGGTAATTAGGAACACATGTGAGGGGATATTTACGGGGAAGTGGCAGCAAAGGAAGTCCTGTGGAACAGGATGTCCTGAAAAAACGTACATTAAAAATAGCAGCAGAAATTACACGTGACGTGATGAAGGTTTATGACATATGGCTCGCTGACCATGAAAGAATGACATATTAAGAGAAAAAGAAATGTGACGCTGATTTGAAATGATTTTGGATGTATGGGAGAGTATGTGACAAGGTGAGGATCAAAGAGAGACTGATCTCACTGAGGACCTTCCTTGTGAAGCTACTTTACTAATCACGAAGGTGCTCTCAAACTGTAAAGACAGTAATCTGAGAAAGCTGTTAAAAGTCTTCTCTTAATCCCCCATCTACCTCCGGGCCACATAATGCACATCATCAAACTCGCTGAGGAAGAATTAAGTCGGAGCGCATTCTCTGCTGTCCATGCTGCTGAGGCTTTATCACACAAACACACCAAGAAGCCCTCCATACCGCCTCCCCCAACCCCCGCTAACAGCCGCAGAAAGCAGATGGGTTGGACTCCATGGTTACAGAGAATAGCCTGGCTGTTCAGAGCCTGGCTGCAGCAGGAATGTGGCCTGCTGCTGATCTGTATCTGGGCTGGACTGGGATCAAACATATCAGGACCAGATAGAGGTTGGGCTGATACAACATGCTGATGTGTCTCATATGATGGAGGGTCCTCTTTAGTATTTTGATAATCGATTAATCATTGGGAGTTGAGACACCTTTTCCAAATTCTCTGATTTCAGCTTCTCCAATCTGAATATTTTCTGCTTACTTTAATCCTCTCTGACAGTAAACTGAATATCTTTGGGTTGTGGACAAAACAAGACATTTCAGGACGTCACCTTGGGCTTTGGGAAATAGTGATCAGAAAAAAAATAATGTCTCCGCTTTGTGCTGCATCGATTTTGATCCTTTTCTTCAACTGAACTGTCCATTGTGGGCTTTCTACTTCAGTCGGGACTCCCACAAAGCATTGCAAGATTGATTGATTCACCAGATGGCAAAACAGGACTAGTGAATTACTGGATCATTATGTTCTCTAGGCCTAAAAGACATGCATACACGGTTATTGGTGAGAGCAATGTGTAAAACTCTAGGGCTGTAAGGATTAGCCAATTAATTAAAAAATTGATTCTCTGATTTCAGCTTCTCCAATGTGAATATTTTCTGCTTTCTTTAGTCCTCTCAGTAAACTGAATATTGTTGGGTTGTGGACAAAACAAGACACTTGAGGACGTCACCTTGGGCTTTGGGAAACACTGATCAACATTTTACGAACTAAACAACTAATCGATTAATCAAGACTTAATGAGAGTAATCAACTATGAAATTAATCGTTCTTCTTTCACAGGTTTGTTCACCCTGATAGGAAGTCCTGAGGAAATGGCATCTTTACAAAATGATCTTATCAGATTTTCTATCCAAAATATTAGCGGGAAAGATTTCATTTTCATGCCTGCTGGTCAGTGGAGAACATCTGGATTTGGAGATGCCTCCTCCTCCAACTTTAGCTGTGCAAAGGGACGGCTGGGGAGAGATTTGTGGGGCAGGGAACACTGAATGGGTGGAAAAATAATGAAACATGGAACCAAAGCACTAAACCAGTAACCATGGGAAGGTTCTTGAGGTAAGACATTACATACAAATTGCTACAGATTTTGCTATGAGCTTCAACTAGCTTTTTCTTCTTGTATTGTGTCTCCCAGTGATCACTTATTTAGCTGAGAAACCGATGTTGAACCGATGTTGAAGAAGACGTTTGAAAATGCTAAAAATCTGTTAGTGTGGAGATAGAAAGAAGAGAGCTTATCAGACCTCTGTAGCTGAATCGTCATCTCTGCTGCAGGCTACAGGCTGCATTAGCCACTACACACTACACACACCTTTAATGTGTGGAATAAAAAAACGACAATATCTCTGGTTGTGCTGCAGTGATTTTTATCCTTTTTGTTAACCCTCCATCATCAGTTTCTTTTAAAATGTGCTTTCTACCTCAGCCTGGAGCATTGAGAGACAAATCTCAAAGGTCACTGTGATTTATAGCATAGCAAAGCAGGAAAAGTTAGCAAATCATTTTGCCCTTTAGGGCTTTACGTTTTTTAAAATAAAACAAAGGTGGAAAGAAAATAATTTTTAGGTTAAACAGGCCACACCAAGTAATGTGTAATGACAAGTAGATATGGGTAAGTGGTCAAATGTCAAGGAAGACCTTAATGGCACTGTTGAGTCGTAATATGCTGTTAATATCATTGGAACCATGGTGCTTTCTAGCGAAAACCAGCCCGTATTTCCACCAGTTTTGAGCAGAATCGTTGTAATTGGATGCATCAACTAGAATGTCTGAACCAATTTAGCTGGTTCCTTGTTGGTAGAGAAGCAGTCAGCCCAGCAATCACTAACAGGCCATTTTCAATTTCAACATTACCCCCTTTGTCACTCCAAGTGAACAAGCTAACTCTACTACATACACATTTTGTTATGTAGCAACTAAAAACATGTAACGCTGGCAATTAGTGCTCTTGATTCTTCTGACCCTGAGTACACAGACATCCCAGCTTTGTGTTTTTATGTTTGAACAGCAGATAGAAGCCTTCTGCAGGTATCTGATCACAGGCCACAGAGGAAGCAGGATCACTGGTTTGTTAGCTGGTGTTAGACAGGCTGTGGCCATGACAAACACAATATGGACTGCAGCATGTGTTCTTTCTTAAAGAGCTTGCATATGAGTAGCCATAAAGAGAAGTAGACATAAAGGTCTGAGGCTGCTGTCCAGCAGGTTATTGCTGCCTGAGGAGCCCAGAGCTTAACCTGCACATCTGATTAACCTAAGACTCTTGTGTAATACAACAAATTGAACTACACTCAAGCGGGACCTTTACCCTCCTATGGGATTCTGTGGTTGGAAAGCCAATAATGAAGGCGACAAGCAAGTTTGGAGCAAGGCAATGACTGAATGAATGCAAAGGTTTCAACTGCTGGTGCATCTTTGTTCACTTTATGTACTGAGGGAGGATTTACTCCTTTTAAATGCTCTACCAACTGATTCAGGTATTGGCCCACATGAGAAGACAAAGAATCACACACTGCTGACTTGCCACTGCTCCAAATTATTTTAGACATATGGGAGTTTCTGCTCCAAATAAAGTTATAAAGTACTGTTCATTATAAGTATTATATTATTGTAACATTTCAATATAATACTGCTTCTAGAACAGTAAATGAATTAACATTAATAAGAAATGAAAGCTTCAATGAAGCTACTGTGTGTGGGAGTGTTTGCTTTGATTTTTAAGCTGCAACTAACCATTATTTTGATTATCAATTAATATGTTGAATACTTTTTCAATTAATGGATTCATCATTAATATAGAAAGTCCCAAACTTTTTTAGCTCAAGACCTAAAAGAGAAATTTGGTATGTCCCTGGGACCCAAATTTATGGGGCTTTCACGGTACTGCACAGTGGCGGGAGAGCAGTTGCCACGTGCAGATTTTGCCCTGCCACCAAAAGTTTACCATGCACTATGAGGCCCTGCACATAGCAGTATCTGAGCAGAACAGACCAGTGTAGCGAAAAATAGTAGTTACAAGCATACATACATTACTGTGAGTACATGCATACAATTACTTTCCTAATTATAATATAAGAACTTTCACTTTTCTTATATTTTAATTAGGACCTGTTTTGCCCGTTAAGGAAACGCTGTTCTCAACAATGTCTGGAAACAGTGCCTAGTACAATTTACGCTAGGTTTGCCGTCATATTTGAGAAGCTGAAGCCGGTGAATGTTTTGCATTTTCCTTTGATAAACGACTATCAGAATTGTTATTGATTAACTTTCTGTTAATTCTCAACCTGAACCTCCATTAATCCTTCTAAGGCTACCTAGGATATATGACAGATATGTGAGCCTATCACACTCAGCTTTAGATTAAATAATTAATGTTTTGTACCATCATTGTCCCCCAAAAAACCTAACAAATATCATGTTAGAGAATGTGACTTTTAACACACACACACACACACACCACACACACACACAAACAGACACACACAAACAGACACACACAAACAGACACACACAGACAGAGACACACACACACACACACACAAACAGACACACACAAACAGACAGACACACACACACACACACACACACACACACACACACAGAGACACACACACACACACACACACACACAGACACACACACACACACACACACACACACACAAAGACACAGACACAGACACACAGACACACAGAC